TGACTCATAGTGACCCTCTGGAACACAGAACTGCTCTCTCCAGCATTAACTGCAAAGTCCCTCCCTGCAAAAAACCAACCAAGCCGCCAGCACACTGTCATCAAGTGAATTCTGACTCAGAGCATCCCCATATGGAGTTTATGAGAGCAGACTAGACAACACCATTTTTCTCCCACAAAGCAACTTGGGGGTTTGAACTGCTGATCGTGAGGCGGGTTAGTAGCCCAAGACTGAACCCACAGTGCCCACCAGGAAAAAACAAAACAAAAAACTTCATAAACCCTGTACTCCACCAAGCACTAGGGTAACAGTAACACGGGTTACTAGTAGGCAGAGCGCCTTCTGGCTCTCCAAATTCCGAACGCAATGCTATCTGGTCAACGCTGGCTCACAGCAGCCCTCCCTGGGTGTCGGAGGGGAGGCTGTAACTGTTCAGGGGAGTAGAAAACCCGGTCCTTATCCCCCACGGAGGTGCTGGTGCTTTCTCATTGTTGACCATGCGGCAGGCAGCCCAGTTAGTAACCACTATGACATCAGAGCTCCTTTCTGGACACTGGCCCTCTGTTTCCCTTTCTGGACTCTGGCCCTCTCTTTCGCTTTCTGGGCATTGACTCTCTCTTTCCACTTGGCCTACAGTGGTTATTGATCACTCAGTGGTTCTGCTGGCCTGTCCATCCCAGAGCTCTTGAGCGGCACAGTCTTCGCAAATGCCCCTCATAGTCACTGAGCGTGCGCTGATAATGTCATTCTGCGAGTGATCGTAACGCGCGCATCTGAAATAAAACCCGTCACTGCCAGAGCGCTTTTCCATCCTTCTGAGAACTTCACAAACTGCTTTCCAGGGCATGAGCTTCCTGTCTGGCTCTTGATTCCGCTTTTTAAAAACGCGCTCTGTGTGTCTGGGAGTCGGCTTCGCCACGTGGAGACACTAGGATCCCAAACATAACTTCCCCAAAGGGTTTCCCGGGTTCTATACGGTTCCTGTGAGTCGAAATTTACTTTTCCCAAAGGTTTGGTTTGGGCCGTATTTACGGAAGCAGGTCGCCAGGTCCTTTTTCCGCAGGGAAAAGGGGGTTTCTAACCGCTTCCTTCCAATAGCAGCCAACCTACTGGTTAGTAACAACCACCGGGTCACCAGGTCAGGCCGTATTTTCAGACAGGCAGCTATTTGGATGAGATTTCAACTAAACCGGCATAGAAGAAGCAAACCAACATCCATGATCCAAGGATTGCAAATTATATAATCCAAATCCAAAGGGGGGAATGATAGCAAAGTTTAAATTGTGGGATTTGGTGTGCAGGGGATTGTGGATGACAGCCCAAAATACATTTGCAGGATCTACACAGGGAATAAGCCTCCAGCAATTCCCCTTGAACCATAATTGTGGGCTGGGAATAGCCTGGCTATCAGACAGAGAGTACTGGAGAGATGATTATAGTAGTTTAAAATGATAAATCTTACGTGAGCAGTTAAAACTTGTCACTTGATCTCCCTTCAGATACACTTAAGTGTTTGATCTGGTTTTTAATATTTTCTGTGTATGTGTGTTTTTCATACTGGGGTTTGTCCATTGTATTTTGTCATTGTTGGTAGCTTTCTTGACTGTTATGTGTTTTTCTGTTTTGTGGAATATGAAACCCAGGAAAGGTGAATCTAGATTCCTGGGGGTGTGGCAGGAGAGGTAGAAGGCGGGGCAAGGTGGGGGATGGGGAGCTGATAACTAATAGTTCCAGAAGGAAGAAAATGCTTTGAAACTGACTGGTAGTGATTGTACAACACAGCTAGATGGTGATTGTACAACACAACTGATGTGATTGAAGTGTGGAATGGTATAATGTCTACATTAGCTCCTAAAACAGTGGTTTGGAAAAAAAAAAATAAAGCAAAAGACTAAAGGGACGGTGGGGTGGGGGGGACCCGATTGAAAAAAAAAAGTACAAATATGCTTGAGGCAACTTCAAAAAAGCCCCCAGGAGGCATCCATGATGTGTCTTACTCTCTCCTCTAGGCAAGGCACTCCTCGACGCCCATCCTCACTTGTTTTGAATCGGATCGCCTTCTTTTGGGTCCATTTCAACTCTTGCTGCCAACCTAAACTTCTCTTTTCCACATTGCCTTCTCATCCTGAGACATTCGACACTTGGCACCTCCTGGTGGTCTTTCAGGCATCCCAATCTTTAACTCAAATCTTAATCCAACCACAGTTCCCCAAACAGAAGGGATATGCTTTCATGCTCTCTCCTCTTTATAAACCCTGTGTTTGTTCATTTATTTATTAATCATGCAAATGCTTAACAAGCATACTTTTTAATTAAGTGAGCAACTTTAAGGGATGAATTATCGATGGAAAATCGGTTTAATACTTCAAATAAAATGTACTATCTGGAAAGCTATAAATGAACTATGCATTATTATGGAGTCCTGGTAGTGTAGTGGTTAGGCTTTGGGCTGCGATCTGTGTGGTCAGCAGTTTAAAACCACCAGCAACTTGGAGGGAGACTGTCTCAGAAACCCACAGGGGTTCGCTGTAACAGGAGTGACTCCATGGGGTGTGTGTGTGTGCACACATTATTAAACTTTCAGTATACCTCTAGCCTAGTCAACTCTTTCTGGCACTTTCTGTCACATTACTCACTTTTTGTTGTTCTTTGCTTCCCAGCAGTTCTGCTACTGACTCCCCTGTGCCAGCTGATACCAAGTGCTTACTAATTGCTGACTGGTTTGACAGTTTGCCAGAAGAGAACGTGTTTTAAAAATTGAGACAGTATATTCAGCTGTTTCATAAATTTGCTTTGAAATCAGTGCACAATTCAAAATATTGCTTCTGGAGAATGTGGGACTGTGTTCTATGACTCCATTCATAAAACCTGCAAGTCTGAGTTACTAATTAATGCCAGATTTCTCAAAAACTAGTTTTTTCATAGAAGTCCTATGATTTCCATGTCCAATGCCTATTGCAGGTGTTTAAAATCCTCTTCATAAATTTTGATTTGCATAAGATTACGAATTCAAAGCACAAACTAAAATAAAGAAACAAACGTTTACAGCCATCGAAATGACCCTTAAAAAACAGATTAGAACTGCTCACTTGGGTTTCTCAAGCAATACAGCTTTAAAAGAACAGAAATCTTCATCTTTCTCTCCCGAAGTGTCAACTGCTGCTGGTTAACCGACTCAGAGACCTTTCAGGCCCGAGGAGAACTGCCCCTGTGGGTTTCCAAGGTGTAATACTATGAAAGAATCTTCATCTACGCGGAGTGACTGGGGTCTCAAACTGCCGACCTTGCTGTTAGCACTCCAGTGCGCATCCACTACACCGCCTCCAGCTCTAAGCAACTATTACCAGACCTGGTGACACAGTGGTTGTTACTAACCAATAGGTTGGGTGCTATTGGAAGGAAGCGGTCAGAAACCCCCTTTTCCCTGCGGAAAAAGGACCGGGCGACCTGCTTCCGTAAATACGACCCAAATCAAACCTTTGGGAAAAGTAAATTCCTACTCACAGTAACCGTACAGAACCCGGGAAAGCCTTTGGGGAAGTTTTGTTTGGCATCCTAGCGTCTCCACGTGGCGAAGCCGACTCCCAGACACACAGAGCGCGCATTTAAAAAAAGCGGAATCAAGAGCCAGACAGGAAGCTCATCCCGGGAAAGCAGTTTGTGAAGTTTTCAGAAGGATGGAAAAGCTCTCTGGCAGTGAGTTGGGTTTTATTTTATTTCACATGCGCGCGTTACAATCACTCGCAGAATGAAATATTAGCGCACGCTCAGTGACTATGAAGGGCATTTGCGAAGACTGTGCCGCTCGAGAGCTCTGGGATGGACAGGCCAGCAGAACCCGGTAAGATAACAGGTCAAAGAATTGGGCTCCTTGGAGCCGGACGCGGCTAGGAGGACGCAAACTTCCGGCCCTCCTCGGCCGCCGTAGCTCAGCTGCGTGGACCTGCGCAGGCCCCGCCTCCGGCCGGAGACGGCATCGCGCGGCTGTCTGCGGCGCGCCTGTTGCGCCGGCCAGTGGCGGGTCGGCCAAGACAGAAGACTCGCGGAACCTCCGGAGCCCGGCATCGCGAGAGCCACCCCCAGCCTTAGGACCGTGTACACATGCGCGCAGGGGTCCTGAGTTCCTTAAATACCGTCATGCGCGCCCGCCCGGCCTCTTTCCCTGTCCCCGCCGAGCTGTGCGGAAGCGGAGGCTCCGGGTGAGGAAGACTCGGGTGGCGGCACCTTCGTAGCGCGAGTGGCATTTTCTGCCCGAGTGTGAGCAGGGGTGTTTAACCAACGTCTTAATTTTTACCTTTCAGTGTGTTCAAGATTCGGTCCCACCCGTAACCTACCGCCATGGCCGAGGAAGGGTGAGTGCGAAAGTGTGGGCGGGGTGCTTTGGCCCACTTCGGCGTCTCCTCCGCTTATCTCTTATTTTAAAGCCCCACGCCTGCTGCCAGTGGAGTCGAATCCGACTCACCGAGCCGATAGGACAGAACTGCCCTTTTGCGTTTACGACAGCTGGATGTCTTGGTAGTTGGCGTGCCTCTTTCCCGTAAAGCATCCCGTGGTTTCGAACCACAGGCCTTCAGGTTGCAGTTCGGTGCTTAATTCTCCGCCCATCAGAGTTTGCATAGTGCTAGTTTAACAAATGAACATGCCTGTTTGGGTCAAGTTGATTCCGACTCAGCGATGTTGTAGGAGGAATGCAGACGGCTTCTCAGGCCGCATAACCCAGCAGGGGCTCTTTTGAAAAATGCTAACCGATCTGACTTGATTTCAGCATTGCTGCTGGAGGTGTAATGGACGTTAACACTGCTTTACAAGAGGTGCTGAAGACCGCCCTCATCCACGATGGCCTAGCACGTGGAATTCGCGAAGCTGCCAAAGCCTTAGACAAGTACGTTTATGCCTTTCAATAAATATGTGTGTTGCAATCGGAACAGATGCTTAAAGGAAGTAATGAAGTTAATGCGTTAAGTGCAAAAGAACTCAATATTTGGCGTGTGAACTACAGTGTTTGAATGATGACTTGTGTTGTCGGATACCCCTTCACTCTCCATGAGTGAGACAAATAGAGTCTGACAAACCTGTACTGAGATTGAGCCAGTAAAGGTTTTATCCAATGAAGAGACTTTTCAAGTACCTGTGAAATTTGATAGAAACTGGGAAAGATTTTGGAATGTTTAGTCAAGTTCTCTAGCCTGGTTACATTGGCGAAACAACTGCATGCCTTTAGTTACTAATTGAGCAGATTCTAAGTGTCTGTCAAACGGTTTTCAAATCAGTTGAATTTATGTCAGTTCAATTCAGTTTGGTGTAGACTGGCAGTTGAATCCAGTGGAAACAGCACTCGCTTGTTGGATCTACACCAGCAGGTCCTTGGACCAGTTATACCTGGCAATGCTGCACAAAGTTAAAATCGATGTCTGAGCCAGTAACAGGTAACAACTCTTTATTTGCTAGCTCATGCTTCACATAATCCATGGTTTTGTGTGTGTAGGAAGTTGATGTGCAAGAAAAAGCTTGTTCAGCCTGTTAATTCCATATAAACCTAGTTGTGAGAAAGATTGTTTCTGTAGAAATATATGTCCTGTGGCTGTAAGTCAGAATGCAGTTTTCTGCACATTGTTGTTATGACCTGCCTCTGCTGCTTGTGTTTTGCCAGTGTAGCCAGTGCAAAGATAACTTGGAAGGACTATAGGGCCACGGGGTTATTAGTTAGACCCGGGTATTGAAGGAGAATTTTGTATTTCAGGCGCCAAGCTCATCTTTGTGTGCTCGCATCCAACTGTGATGAGCCTATGTATGTCAAGTTAGTGGAGGCCCTGTGTGCTGAACACCAAATCAACCTCATTAAGGTAAGAAGCTCCTTTTAATTTGACAATTTGCAGAAGCGTTTATATTGGGCAAACTAAGACTTGGCATGCAAGAATTAATGCTGTCCACATTTTGTTCTTAAATGTGTGCCGTTGTAAGAAAATAGTGATTGTGTCTAAAACTAACAGTAAATATTTTCTAGAAACGAAAAAGGGTCAGAGAGTAAGTAGTAGGTATGGGTGACCTTGGTATGCTGTAAATGATGACAACTGGCTCCCTCTACTGAGTCTAGTGAGGAAATTGCCATGTCACCAATTCTGACTACAGCTACCTTGGAGTAGGGGGTATCTGACTACAGCCACCTGGAGTAGAGGGTATTTATTATTTGAGTTTGCCACCTTCTTAATATAGTGGTGTTTGATTCCTCCGATAGGTTGATGACAACAAGAAACTAGGAGAGTGGGTGGGCCTTTGCAAAATTGACCGAGAAGGAAAACCCCGGAAAGTGGTTGGTTGCAGTTGTGTGGTTGTTAAGGTAAGTTGAGTTAGGGTGAATTAAGATTTGTTGAATTGTTGTCAAGTCTTAAACATTAAAAGCCAGCCATTGATTCTGCTTACTTGATTGTGTTTCTGCAGAAATTTAGAAAAAGCTGGCAATAACAGTAAAGCCATGTTACGAGCCTTAAGGATAATTGAGATCATTAAGGTCCCTGAAAATGGCTACATTAATTTTTATGATGAGACTAAAATAACTAGTTGATACTATCAGTCGACATTGTTCTAAGCAAACTTTTGTTTCTGTTTTTAAAGGACTATGGCAAAGAATCTCAAGCCAAGGATGTTATTGAAGAATACTTTAAATGCAAAAAATGAGCAAATAAAACTTTGCTAATTGTTCTCCTGGTTCTAATTATTTTTCTGATTTTTTAAGTGTTATTTTCCATTTTAATTGTCTATAGGGGACTACTCAGACTAGAAAGCTCTTAAAGTAGGGCATACATCACACCATTGAAGTTGCAATAGGATCCCATCTCTTCATCAAAGCAAGATACAGTAGAGGTATTCATTTTACCACTTTACTGTTTTAAAGCAAACTTGCTTTCATTAAACCTGTGGGTGTAATGAAGGTGGTGGTAAGGTGGAAGGGGATGTTTTGCAAAAGGTTAAGAACAAACTGGCAACAGGCAATGAAGGCTGGGGGAGGGAAGGTGGTTTTCCTGTTTTTTAGTGACAGTAGAATAGACTTATGTTAATAAATAGCAAAGCTAGTTAAGTTAATTAAGTTAAAAGATTTACTGCTGTGCCTGAGTCCCTCCACATTACTTAAACCCATCAACTTCTGATTTACTTAAAGGCCATTTTCTAGTGGAAAACTCAACTTTACCCTTTTCTAAAAACTGGTTGAGACCCACCTACAAGGCGGGAGTGGGTGGGTATTAAGTTATTCTGGTAAAGCCTTTTGAGGGGGCTAACCTGAGTCTCATGCTACTGAGCTGATAAGTAGATCGCAGTTAGGCTCCAATAGCTACTCCTCAGGAGAAAGATGAGGTTTTCTACTTTAGTTAAACCAGCTTCTGAAACCCATCAGGGCAATTCTACCATGTATAATAGGATTCTATAGGGAAGCTATGCTTTTTAATGAAGGCAATGGTGTTGCAGCAGGCTGAGGCTAGCAAAATCTCTGGATATCAGTATAGAGGGTTAGTGTGAGGCCATAGTCCATTATAACAGACAAAATGGAGAAGTTTGGTGCGGAAGTAAGGTCATATTGTAAGCCATAAACGGATAGGATAGGTCTGATAAACCTTTATGCATTTGTATAAGCAGTATACTTGAGTTAAGAACTCATTAAGATATATAAAACCTCAGGAACCACTAGGGCCACTTGGGGTGCTACAATTCAGTCTTGGTGGGGAGCACAGGTTGCAAGCATTTCATTTTATGCATGCGTTTTCAGTAAGGGTTTTATGTGTTCAGGTGCTATGATGTATAAAAGTTGAAAGGATATCAGTAACGCAGGGGTTTGGGGTAATAGGTATAGGTTTTATACTTGTACCCTCTGTTTTATGTATATAACTTGTGAAGGCTAACCATAAACAGTCCATTGTAGCTCTTGTGCCAATCTACCCTCACAAGCAATTTTTTAAGTTATAAAATCTTAAACCTGTATTAGAAGATATCAGTGAGAAGCTATTTTTAAAAAATCGGTTATTGGCTTAAACTTCATGTAGCATACAATAACTCATTAAGAGTTGTACAATCATAGTTATAATCAATTTCTGAAACATTTTTCTCCATTCTCACTTTCATTTCATCTGGCTTGCTTTCTTGTAACTGAAATGGGTTGATAATGCTTGCTCACTACTTCCAGTCCATCAAAACCAATTGCTCAGTAACAGCCCTTTCCTGACTTCTCTGGCATAAACACCAAAAAGTGCTTTTTGCCCTTTCCTTGGTCTTTGCCACTTCCTTCCTTGCATCGTTTTTGTTCCTCTGCCTGCCTCTTTCATTGTACCAGTGCAGTCCTGCTTGTGTGTGGTCTGGGATAGGTTGCCACTGCTTTCATTAACCCTCTAGATTGCTGTGATTCTCAAATGTATTTTTGCTTTTTTAAATCCGTTGTAGAGTAGTTCTAAACCACCAGCGGCTTTAGACTCCTGAAGTTCAGTCTCAAACCCAGAGGCAGCTCTACCCTGTCAGAATTAACTGGAAGTGAGTTGGTTTGGAGACTTGATGGGTGTGCACTGTAGCTCCCCATAAATGCGCCTTTCTTACACTGCAGTTTTGTATCCTTCAAATTGAACTCTTATCATCTTCCCCGGAGGACAGACCCTGCCACCAGCCTTGTACTATGTCTGCTCTAGGTTTTCCTACTACCGTAATTGCCAGGCTTCACACCTCAAGTGTCCTGCCTCTGCCTTGTTTTGCTGCAGCCGTCATGGAGCCTCACAGATGACGGCAACAACAATGATCACTTTTGTATCTATGACTTCGTCTGTTGGCTCATTCCACTCCTGCCAGAAGGGTTTTCCTTTTTGAAGGATTTTTCTTTTTCTTAGCTGGCATTTTTCTCTAAAACCCAGCTCCCATGTCACTGAAGTCTGATGGTTGCAGCTTGTCTGTAGATTTTTCTAGGTCAGTGGTTCTCAACCTTCCTGATGCCATGACCCTTTAATACAGTTCCTCATGTGAGTCCCCAACCATAAAATTATTTTCGTTGCTATATCATAACATTTTGCTACTGTGAAGAATCAGGAGAGCCACTGTGATGTAGGTGTTCACAAAGGAGTCTACCCAAGCTGGAGTGTCAGCTGAGAAACAAGTTTTCTTTGGGGAAATAGTTCTATGACATGGCCTGCCTGTCCTCTGAGACTTATTTAGGACCCTCCTTGTACTCACAAGAGAGAAGTGGGAACTAAACCCTTGGCTCTTCTGTCTTGCTCATGCTCATACCTCTCCATAGGGGCTGTAGAGCCTCCAAGCCAAATAATTTTTTCATTTGACCTTAGTGCTTTTTTTGCTTTCTACATTTTTTCCTTTGTGATTTGACTGCATTTTAGTATGATTAAGATTAATTAATCCTTAGATTGTTTAAGGAGCCCTGCTAGTACAGTGGTTAAGGTATCTGCACCCTTTTGTTGACCTAAAGGTTGGCCATTAAACCCACCAACCAAGATGTGGGAAGTTGTGGCAATTCGCCCCTCCTGTGCGATGAGTTGGGATTAATTAGATCAGTGGATCTCAACCTGTGGGTTGTGACCCCTCTGGGGGTTGAATGATCCCTTCACAGGGGTCGCCCAATTCATAACAGCAAAATTATAGTTGTGAAATAGCAATGAAAATAATTTTATGGTTGGGAGCTCACCACAACATGAGTGAGTAACAAGGGGCTGCATAATTAGGGAGGTGGAGACCCACTGAATTAGGTGGGATGGGTTTGCTTGTGGCGCTTTTTACATTTGAGAATATACACAGCATGACACCAACAATTCCTATATGTATGTTTCCATGATAGATTACATCTTTTGAGTTGTATAATTATCTTGACCCTCCTGTTTGAAGTGTGTTTCTCTTATTAAACTCACGGCTCCCTTAAGTTTCCAGTCTCGGCTCTCAAGTTGCTGCCGTCACTTTGATCCCACAGGTTTTAAAGAGCTCAATGTTTAAGGTAGACATTTAATTTTTACCAGTTAGGCAAAATTGTTGGGTTTTAAGAAGTCTTCACGGGATACTTGTTAAGTGTTAACAGCTCAGGGCGATGGCTTCAGGG